ATTGAATTTTTTGCTTGTTTTTTTTCCTTTCATTTTTCATTGTCTCATATTTATAGTAAAAGTTCAAACTTTTAGTCTTCATTGAGAAAAAAAAGGTATGGTAAATGCAATATGTCTTGTCCTAATACCTACTAGTTCTCTGTTGTCAGTTCTAGCATACTCAACAGGATTCTTTGTATACAGACATGTCCTGAATCACTGAGATATGAACATGGTGAAGTAATGGAGCACGTGACACTTTGTGGAGGATAGCATGAGTTGTAGCTGAACAGTTTGTGCAAACAGGAATATGTTTACTTCCAAAGATAGAACAGGTTTCTCATGAGATGCATCATTATGGTATCTACACGTTATATACTACACCTACTTATATTCTACTTAATTTTATTGAGGTTAAGATATTAATTAGGGCATTTATTAAATAATAAATGACATGATTGTTCTAATCAGAATATACATGGTTTCACATGGTGTAGAAAACAACCCTCAGATCTTTTCAAGATTTTCTTTTTTTAACAAGACTGAATATTTTGTTTATATGCACCTCTGTGTGATATTTTTATGAAACAATTATCTGAGTGCAGGTGTTCCTTTTTTTGGACATCTTTCCAAAACTGATTTATCATTTGACCATTTTGTCAGAGTGAGTGACCACCTAGTTTTATGTAAATGTGCAAGATGAAAAACGGCCATCTGGGTGTTATCAACAACATCTTGGCCTCCTCCCTATCTTGTTTTCCAGTCCATTAGTCAGTGCAGTGATAGGTAATTCTTCCACATAAGCTTTAACAGTTCCATTACTTGGCCAAGTACCCAATGTCCACAGGGCAAGCCCCTATCTCAGTGGTAATTAACAGACTTAGCATTGTTTTAAGTGTATTATGGTGACTAAAGCACATGGTCACATTTATGTATGACATTGAATTTTTACAATAACTGACAGTAATGGGAAGCATGGAAAGTGTAGAATTTGAGTGCATTTTGGACAGTGTAATGGGCTCTAGGTGCAGTTCCTTTTTATATTTTGTATGATGAATAACAAATATATTTGAAGCATAGCTAGTTAAGGATTTTCTTTAATAGCTATCATTTTAAGTAGCCTGCCACCTCAGAAAAAGGAGCCATAATGCCAGTTGGTTGTACAGTATTTCAAATGTGCATTTACACATATTCGGTTTTGTGTTCTGTTTCACTTTAAAACTGACTTTCACTTTGTGAGTTCATTGGAGTATGAACCTTCATAGAGTGAGGGCCAAACTGCCTGAATGTGGTTTATAGCTCGAAGGATGCATAACAATTTAATTATGTATATGTGACTTAATTTATTACACTGACAGTCATACAACAACCAGCAGTAACACGGAATATGATAGTTCCTCAGAAGGCAAGCAAGGTAGCATGTGCATTTATCTCACTTTATATGAAGATACTAGTTTCTTATTGGTTAAGGAGCGGGCAATTATTTACCATGTAGCCCGCTCATGTACCCCGCTGAGAAATCAATCGGAATACCTTAGGTAGCTTACTTACCTCACCTCACATAAGTATCGTTGAGCTGAAATGAACCAATGTTTATCCGAAAGCATTGGGTAAAGGGAAGTAATTCGGTTCGTTTGCTTCGTCTGCTACCTGACAAAATAGCTGAATCAAAGCATTTTACTCAATGAAACTAAATTGGACATATATTTTGGGTGTGATATACCCTGTATGTGAGCCTATGTACACTTTGCTTGACAGTTCGGGATACATAGGCTCACACACAGGGTACATCGCACCATATACCCCTCAAGATCGGTTGACAGTGTATAATATATGCTCAAATTGCACTACAGCAACATATTTTGTACTTTGGTTACAAGAAATAGATTAGATGAGAATGGTCTCTTATGAACTACATGATTAAGTCAGTCACATTTATTATATTCAATACAGGATGTCAAAATGTCCGACACGATAAACGTGATGAAAGAGATTTCCGAAGTTGTTAACATAACTGTGATGTTGGTCATCATTGATCAATTTGCAGATCATTGAAAGGTTATTATGAAGATGTGTCAAATAGATAATGAGGTAAATTCATAGATTGCTGTAGACTGTCACTGTCAGTATAGGTATTGGTTGAGTCGATAGTATGGATGTGCATTCGTTTAGTTCACTTATCCCAATGTATGCTAGAACGCGGAGTTCAAGATTAAGGTCTAAATGATCAGAATCCATGCTTCTGTATTTATTCATACAAGGTTTCTCCAGGAATGTGGAAGCAGTCCATCATTTCACGACTACAGTCTAGTGAAAAACTTATGAAGGTCAAAATGTGTCGTTCATACACTTAATGAACATCAGGTTCGTGTTTATGTGACTTCATGACCTTTCCTCCAATGGAAAAGCCATGTATATCATGTTAACATGACATTAAAAACTTATCACGCGACAATTTTTGTTGAACTTACTAATTACTCTGATCTGACACAACACCTTTGCTCAATACAGTGTCGAATGTCAAATCACCAAATCATGTGACCGCAGATGGTTGAACATCAAGACACGTCACCCCTCCTCTGATTGGCTCATCTCACAGTTATGACGTGTATCGTATTGTGTGCTGATACACTCTAACAATGGTTCTTTCTCTAACTCTGACCACCTCCCCACCCACTAGCAACTGCCTAACCAGCCCCTCCTGGATACCCCAGTGTCCACAAGCAGTGAAGACACTGGCTCATTTTAACACTGTGAAATGTCTTCAGTCTTCACTTCATTCCAGATACTGATACCAGTGATACCGGTGCTGCAGCTTCTCTGTTACAATACGATCCTGAGTTTCTGCAATATTTACTGATGTCATAACCAATTGAGTGGACATTTATGACATTCTGTTTTGTTTCTTTTCTGCCACTTATATAGGTGTTTTGTAACACTGATCCAGGACGAGGTGTTTCTTTATGAATGCTAAGTTACAAGTGTGTTTGATGTACTCCCTTATTCAGTACATGACTCGGTAAGTCAATACCATGGAAGACTGGGAGTGTCATGTGTTTGCATTGTTTATTCCTGAAAAAGTTTCTTTGCTAGGTGAACATATTCCCAAGTATTGATCACAGACAAAGTATACCATGTTGTATATAGTTTGGCTAACCAGCGACGGATGTATTAACTTTTGAAAGACTTCTTATACAGACATTAGCAAGAGCTGGATGTCCTATCAAGGGTGTCAACAAGTGTCAGTGAAAGCTCATGTATTCTATATGTCAAATGGCTTTTGTTTTCATCCAACCACATGGATAAGTTGATTTATCATATAATGGGTGGGTATCTTGGCAGGATAAAGCCAACGGATAAAAACGATATCCGTTGGGGTCATATGCAGATAGAGATGCAAATATCAAAGGTCATGTAGGGACTACTTTCACTGTTTATAAACAAACATGGCGTAACCCGTGTCATTCGGCGATCAAGACAGAATTAACCATTGGGAGTCTGGAGAAACTACTGGCATAATTGCTATCATTATGAAAAGTATAGTCTTAATAAAACCAGTGTCTAACTGTGTAGTAGCTAAGGCATTTTACAAGTTTTGGCACCTTTGGAGATATAAATTGCGAAACAATTTAGCGGGGGCACTAGCCAAGCGGGATCACTTTCCATATCTATGCTTGTAGACCTATGCGGCTTGGAACCTTTTCCACAAATTAAAACAGTTGGATTTGGCTGAAATATGTTCGAATTGTTACCTTGTTTCGTTTTGTCGCTGTGTGTACATCTGACTGCACACCTAAGGTTATGACAAGACCAGCCGACTGTCAACAACGTCTGACTGTGGCCGTGACATTTCATAGACTAGGGTTAGAGTAGCTTCCCTTTGATAAAGGGCAGTTACTCTATAGGACAGACCAATGGATTGGTAAGAAAAAACTTTGTGTAGGCAATTGTTGTTTTGCATGTATGTAGTTACGCCACTGTATAAGAAACAGGTTTCTCTTGGAACTATATTGGCTACTGTCACTGTGCGACTGACGCGTCACTTACCCTCTGATGTAATATATATTAATGCGCACATTCCAGGAAAAATTGCAATGTTTAGGTAATGTTTGTAAGAAATGGAAAGAGATTTTCGAGCACAGAATTGAAGAATGCCATTATATAATAAAGAGGTTATCAACCGGTTTTCTATGAACACTAATAATCAACCGAGCTTGTTCATAGTAGCAGTAGGTTAGGGACAGACAACCAGGGTGACAACCGGGTGCCAACAGGGAAACTGGTCATTGGAGATCTGCAGTTCACCTGATCAGTGGGAATAATTATCATGACAATTACATCTTATGCTTTCCAATTTTCCAGAATATGTAAGTGCTCCTGATACACATTGTCACATACACAGTGTTTGGGTAGAACCGTCATTGAAAAGGGGAAGTCACTTCGCTATTGTATATACAGTAACTCTCTCAAACAACTCGCAATAACAAGCATGAATTATTGATCAGTTAATCAAAGTTTTTCACTTCCTGTTTCCCGTAATAGAGAGCAGTCTACAGCTCCTGCCTCGGAGTGAGGAATACATCCTTCCGTGCCAGCCCATCAGCTGGGCACATCTCCAGCAATCAATGCCCATCTGATTGACAACTGATTGACAACTGTAGTTGTCCGTGTAGTTATGACAAGCTGCTGTCCCACTCTTACCATGGCCAGCATACTGAAATTCCTCAACATGTCAGAAACTGTTACTGTGGGTTTTTAAAAGTGATCATGCTGCCATAGCCTGTCAATTGGCCTGTGTTGTTTGTGGTTGTGTGGTTGTGTGGTTGGCATTAAAATACATGCTGTCAACTGATGTGGCCGTCAACTAAAGGTGTTTCCTCATTCATATTTTTATTTTGTGGTGTTCTTTTTCCATTTAAAAAATGTTGAATTGGTTACATCACATAAAGTTTACCAGCTGAGTTAAAGGTGACCCTGGACAATGTAAACATGCAGCATGCTGGAATGATGGTATGACTCACCTTGCCTAGCACCCCAGGTTGCAGGGAGGAGACAGGGACGAGACAGGGACAGAGGGGGACAGTCCATTTCTTGTGTGTATCAGCTGATGCCCTCTTCCTTCCTCCCTCCCTTCTCTCTCTGCCTCCTCCTTTCTCTGCTTCCCATACAGCATACTGCTGTAGTGAAGATCCTGGTTTGACTGGCTATCGCAGGACTGCCTATACTCTGTTTCCCATTTCCAGCTGGAGGAATCTCTCCGGCACTCATTGCCTCACTGCCAAGTAATACCTTGCTGCACCATTTCTCCCATCTACTCACCAACCTGCTCAACCATCTTGCACTTCCTGTTATTGATCAGAGCTTAAATGTAGTTCACTGCAGTTTAGGGTTTTAATCTGGATTGATTTGGGGAGATTATCCTATTTTTTGTCTTCGGTATAGTGACTGAAGTATTTATACCATGTTGGTCCTTTCAGGTCATGTTTATGAGCTTGTATGTGTACTGAAGGAGTAGCTTTTCCGACATGATTCTTGGCAAATCCAATTTTGGAAGTTCAGGTCAATCATTTTCAGTTTGTCTTGTGGTAACTACTTTCCAATGTTTTAGTCCTGGTACATCCACATCCCTACACTCCTTGCTGTACTCTCACCCTACTTGTGGGAATGTTGGCATGTTCTATCCACAAACCACCAGATACATGATGAATGGAATCTTTAGATTGTTTGTTTGTTGTTTAACACAGCACTCGGCAATATTACAGCTATATAACGGCGGTGAATAATCGAATCTGGACCAGACGATCCAGTGATTGAAATCATGAGCATTGAGCTAGGCAATTGGGATACAATGACATGCATCAAACGAGTCACTGAGCTGACCACCCAATCCCGTTACAACAAGCATAGTCACCTCTTACGACATGGATTACTGAAGACCTATTCTAGCCCAGATCTTCACGGACCAGAATCTTTAGATGATATCATGAAGGTGTCTTTGATCTTTGCGTTTTTATTCGAATTAAGGTGAAAAGTTTGTAATGGCTTTCTATGATAGAAATGCAGGGTTGGAAATTATTTTTTTTATTTTCACTTGCCTGCATGAACATCTGTTACAGAGTTGCCTTCTAACTAATGGTATCAGTGGTGGTCCACAACAAAATGTCACTAATCTTTCCTGAATTTTACTAGGCTCAGACTTGTGAACATATGTAATGATAAATTATGATTTATGATCACTCAGTTTCCCTGTCATTCAATATTTATAATAATTAAGTTGAGTAAATTAGTCCTTTTATAGTAGATTATAAGGGTTGTCTTTATTTCACTCGAGTTTTAGTTGAACTGACAAGAGAAATAAGTTCAATTTCATTGATGATATTTACTTGATTTAATTAGTGATATTCACTGAAATTTTTTAATGCTATTCACTCAATTATGGCATATAAGTTTGACGTTTAGAAATTATCTGCATGTCATTTTGGCTCATGTTCAGCTCAACGTACAGCTTATTTTGAAAGGATGCAGTGGTCATAACTTAGTCTTTGGAAGATGTAAGTATTGTATCAAGAAAAGGTGCACAAACAGTATCCACTGTACTTACTGTAGGTATTTAAATGAAAAACCCCATCTCTACACAGTCCCCATGCTTGTATCAACAGTGGCATGGTCAAGCTATCGTTACATGCCGGCATAGCGATAGTAAACAGACTCTCTTCAGGCCATACATAATAGATAATGCATTAGAACATCGGGACATCATAGTACAATGACACAACAAACCATGCCAAGGGAACAAGGGAGATTCAACTTAATGGAAAACAGTCTGATGAACCTGTTTTATTTATTTTCTAACAGCTTGTCATAATAGTAATTGTTGTAATAATTGTCAGAACGTAAAGCTTGTACATTAGAAAAATTGTAAATTGCACATTTCTAAATTTGTCCAAATGCTTACTTAAAGGTACAGTGGGGCTATTGGTCTGATATATTTGTGATCTGTGCAAATTTATGTGTAATTTCAGCTTAAGTTAAATGTCTCCAAAAAGTATTCTTTACAACCAGAGCATATAATAACATATGCAATGTTTCTTTTGTTACAATTAAGATTTTCTCTGTCAAAGAAATTATTATAATTTGCTATCTGTATGGATGATCCTTCAAAGGTTTTAGAATTTAGATGTCAGGCAGCATGAATTGCCACATTTAGATACTCTAGGAACACACTCAGTCGAATTTTGTTGGTTGTCTCAAATGTTAAGATTGTTTATGACTGCTTATCATCTGACTTTTAGATGACACTTTTTCCCATTATTGTGCTTTGAGTTATAATGGTTAAGTTACTTTGCGTGATAGACATAGCACTTTGATGGTTAAGATTAAAGGTCGGCCCTAATGTTAAAACATTTTTGTAATCTTTTGGGGTAAGTTTTGGAGCTCTTATGTGACTTATGATCTAACATTGCGTGTTTTTGTGTGTGTTTGAGTATTTGAATATAAATAGATGTTACTGAACTGATCCTGTGAGCCAGGTGAGCTACAGAAGTGGAGATGAGCTGTCTGGGACGTGTTGCAGTAGACTTTACAACCAGCTTTACACTGTACTTTATTGTGCTGAAGATTAATGTTACAGATAAGAGCTGTCACCTATCCTGCATGAATTGCTTTCTTCACTGAAGGAAATGTTTTACCACTCATGAACACTGCATATTTTCAGTCTGATGTATGTCGAGGGATACTGGATCCCAGTACAGGTGATTAGCAACATTGGACTTCATTATTATTGAAGAAAAGCTGGACCCCCGCCGTGGTTTGTGGTAGAGCGTCCGCCCGGAGATGAAGATTCGTGTTTCGATCCCCAGCCATGTCATACCCAAAGACTGTTAAAGATGGTACTTGTTGGCCCTCGGCTAACACAAGAACTGGTCGGCTTGGAGTCAGTATACTATTTCTAAGAGGGGTATTCCTGTTAAACTGTGGCATATGGTTTCACAGTGGGCTAGCACTATTAAATTGGCATTAGTCCGGGCAAGTACACACGTGCATGCACGTCGCAGTGCAATAATCTTAAACACAATGTTAAACCCCATTCACCTTACCTCACCATAAGAACAGCTTGACCCCAAAAGGCAACTTCCCATGTTGAGTGATTACATGAAATTAAGCTTTGTTAAGGTAAAGACCACTTCAAAAGAACCTTTGTTTAGGTACCGCAAACTATCAAGCTTTGTGCTCAGGTTGTTGGCCTATGATATCATCAGCTGCATATGTTGTCCAATTGTTGATAGTTTGGGATTCCGTCGCCTGTAAATATGAGCCAACATTGCTTCATCAATTGAAGTTCAAGAGATATCATGTCATAGCAGGTTGCCTGTTGTCTGTCAGTCGTAATCTTTCACATTTTCAACATCTATGTAACCGTGAAGGTTTTTGTATAGCGTCTCTAAATATTGCTTTCTGAATTCTTATCTGATTTTGAATTTAGACAATCTGGCAGCCATGTTGAATATAACCTTTTTACCCATTACTGAACCGTTTGTGTATGTAGTGTTGTGAACTGTGATATGCATTGAGTTTGGGGTATGCTTCAGAACTTGGTACTTTTTCTTCGTTTTTATGTTGGCACAATGTTCATCTTTGACCTTTCACCATTGTTGTTGCTGTGTTGAAATATTGTCAAAGTGCATATTCCTCTACTCTACAATCACTGAATTATCAATGTGTAATTTAATGTAGTTAGGACGTCTGTATAAAGGTCAGTTTATTTTTTTCTGCTTTTAGTTTACCAAGACCATGTGTTGTGACCTTTTGCATGTAATGTTGCCAATATTCTGTAAAAAATTATGTGATCAAACTCACATGACCTCATGGCTATTTTGTTGTTGAAAATACAGCTTGCTTTCAACCATGTTATGATACTTGTACACATAGAATGAATGCTTTTTTTGTTTCATACAAGATAAAAACATGCACAAATAGACAGTGATACCACTATAACTACCATGGGACCCAATTTGCAATGTTTTTTCAAGGAGAAACAAATTTAATTATTTTATGTTTTGTTCTATAAATTGTTTCAGGAAGACAAAAAGCTTGATGTTGTTTGGGTCTGAGAAATGTTTGTAGACGGTTGTGTGTGCACTATTGTCGCCATGTAAACTGGTAGCCACCCTCCTGCCAACTATAGACTGTTGTATTGGGATGCCCTGTACACACAGAGGATTCTGTATGTAAGCTTGTGAATGGCTTGCCTTGTGGATGGATATGATTACCTTTGAGAAAATATGACAACTGATCAACAGGCAGCAACTTGCATGGCCATAGCAGAAAAGCCAAACTTGCCATTATTTGGTAAAGCTGTCAGTAAGTGATCCTCATGAGACCTTGCTTGAGTGATCTCGTTGTGTTGATGTCATTGGTCTATTTACACTCCAAGATTCTAACTGCAGATATACATATTGAATAGCTGATATTTTAGGTGAGGTGAGGTGAAATTGGGTCCAAGATTATTCCACTTATATAGTGACGTGGATGCATGTGTGTGTGTGGGGGGGTGTGTGGCTGCTTGTACTAGTCTGGACTAATGCCGATTTATAGTGCTAGCTCACTGAGATATCATGCCGCAGTTTAACATGAATACCCCACTCAGATACAGTATACTGACTCCAAGCCGACCTATCCTTGTTTTAGCCCCATTATGCAGAGCACCAGACAGGGTAACAACAAGTACCATCTTTAAACGTCTTTTGGTATGACACGGCCGGGGATTGAACCTTGAACCTTCCACTCTCTGATATTTTAGGACGGAAAGTCCCACCCCAACAAGGCTTTGATTCAGGAATTGTTAAACCAAATGATATTGCTATGAGATTTTCTGTTAAATGTGACCAATTAGGGTGCTGTCAATATGGTAGCCATTCTGTATTCTGGTACCTCAAGAACCCACCTAGACAGACAGTGTAGGTGCCCTGCCCTGCCCTGCCCTGCCCCACCCTACAAACTGTTGTGTGGATTAGGCTAAGCAGAGTAACATTAGCAGCAACAACAGATGTGGAAGAGTAAAGCAGCCAAAAAACACATGTGATGTAGACAGAATCAACACTGTTATCCACTCCAATCTCTCATTCAACCTACTTCGAAACGAATTGTTTGAAAATCGTGTGCCAGCAAGTAGCATTCAAGGCAATAGGGATGTATCTTTCTT